TCGGGATGCTCTGTGATTCTGCTCAGAGTCCCTGCCAGCAGCACAACTCACCTCTTTCCCTGGAGGTTCAGCCCACCCCAAGGCTGTCTCCTGCTGCCTTCCCGCTGGCATGGCCGGGGCAGGACAGCAGGAAGGGGAGGATTCCGGAGTGAGGCAGCTCAGCATCTGCCCCGGAGCTGTTGGCCAGCCCTAATTAGGCTGTGACTTCATCACTGCTGCACTTGCACCGTCAGCGAGTCCCCCCTCTCCCCGCGGTGAAATCACCTCATCCCCGCGGCCGGCGGCGATTTCTCCGTGCAGGCTTTTCTGGGGTCTCTCGTTGTCCCCGCCTGCCAACGAGACACCCGTGGCACCTGCCCCAGCCAGGGCTGCTGTCAACAAACTGCGGGACAAACGCTGGGAAATGGGAATTTCATCGCAGATGCCCCTCGGGCACCTCTCCTGCTAATTTGCACTTAGATGGGTGTCTTTCTCTGAGCACTTTATTAATTAAGGCTCGCAGCCCACCTGTGAGGCAAGGAAGTTATTAGTGCCCTCATTTTCCAGCAGAACTGAAAGCAGTGGTTTGCCCAGGGCCACAAATCTAATCAGTGGCAGAGGCAGGAACGAGTGAGTTCTTGCAGTCTCCTGTGATACTCTGTGCACCCCACTGCCTACCTGGAACAAATTTCATGGCTTCCCTAAGAGTTCACGTTTTTGTTAACACGATGTAAATGAAGATGGAGCACCCAAAAGGAGCCTTGCAAGGGGGAGAGCTCCCAAAAATCTGCGGTACCCAGGGCCAAAGGCATCATCTCCCGTCTGAGCCACAAACCCTCCTCTACAGAAACTCCACACCTCTTCTTGTCTGTAAATTTAATAGGAGGGTTCAAGCATAAATTTAAAAGATGCTTTTATTGTACCCAATGCATCAACATAATTAACACCCAACCCCATTCTTTTGCTTTCTTAGGCTGGAGCAAACCCTGTGCCCTTGGAGAAAATTGTTTCCCCTTTTCCTCCAGGGAATCCAGAGCCTGAGCAGCAGCTGTGAAGAGTGGAGAGAAAGAAAGAAGTGGGAGATGCTGGAAGTGCTTTGGGCGACGTGAGAAGGAGGATTTGCCCGGAAGGAGCTGTTCAAGGGCCCAGCAGCAAACCAGAGACACAAAACCTGCTTATATATAGAAGAATGTAACCCCTGTGTATGCAGACGTGGACGCGTGCATGCCTTGTCGAGAGCGTAAGCGACATTCCCTGTAGATCGCTGCTGCGAGCAGCCCTGCTCCTGCAGGCCGAGCCTTGGCACTGCTGCTGGCCCTGCTGGACACCACCCACTGCCCTGCTGGCCCATTTATGCAGCAGGACGAGGAGGAATCTCTACACCCAGATTTGTAATCCTGAGAATTCCAAACGTGCTGCAGCGCGGGCACGGCCCAGGCGTGGCGGGGAGCGGGTGCGGAGCAGCTCGGACAGCAGTTTGTGTGTGTAAATATTCGTGCTCTGGCACCAGGGGAGAGCAGCTTTCCTATGACTTTAGTTTCTCTGGTGCTACATTTAATATTTGTCTGGGGCTAAACTGCCTCTCTGTGGTGCTACAGTTTCCCCAAGAGGATGTTCTGAAACGTGGGACAAGGAAAGATCTATTTTGGTTATTGATATTTATACACAAGATAGCAAAAAATAAGACTTGTTGAGAAGGTGCTATTTTTTTTTTTCTTTCTTTCAATCTCTGCAGAAACTAAGACAAAACAAATAACCTACCCCAGAACTTTATACAACTCCTTTTCTTTGGAGCAGTTCTTTTTCTTTTTGACAGTGTGGAGCTTGGGAAGCAGCAGGCACTGAGGTGGAAAGGACACAAGAACCTTTCCACTGCAGTGTGCACATCAAGGTCTGCTAGAGCAGCACTTTCTGCAGCTCCAGAGCTGGGAATTCTCCTGCATGGTGATTTATTCAGTCCTACATCCCATGAACCAGGGAAGAGAACTCTTATCCAAACTGATCACTAGAGCAGGGGATAACAGGAGAACTTGGCCTTAGAAGTCAAAGGGCTTTTTTCAGTCTAGTACTGAGCACTTTTTTCCTTGCAGCCAAAACTACCTGTCAGATTTCGGGTACCTTCCACATACAGCAACCTGTGCACAGTTTTTTAGAAACATTTTTCCTACCTTCAGATATTTGCACCAGAAAATTGACCCTGCCATGGCAGGGAGGGCATTTTCAAAGGCATAAAGGAATGTTAGAACCCGATTTTTGAAGGAAATTTGGCTCCTTGTCTTTTAAAAATACTTCCCACCCCTCGCCCAGCCCAGGAAGAAGCCGAGTGGCCACTGTGTCCAGTCAGACCCTGCATTTTCCACTGCTGCAGGAGAAATGTTTCTAAGCAATCTGAAAGCTAAATTCTCCCTTTATCAAATATTCACCGCAGTGTTTTGAGCCCCTGCACACATTTTCCTGGCTGATATTGATCCAAGTCCATTCCCAAACAGCAGCAAGGGCTCTGCTGGAAGAGCAGATTGTTCCTAGTGAAGAGCCTTGCCCTGCCTTAGGTGGTGTGCAGTGTTGGGAGGGGGGCTGTAGCTCCATGTAGTTTGTCTGTCCGTACCCTTGGGGTGGTCTCAGAGCCACAGGGACCAGTGAAACATTTTCCTGCCGTTTTTGGTCTGATGCTCAGTAATCCTCAGCATCCTGAACCCCTTCCCAGCTCAGTCTCCTACAGAAACAAGGACAAATTCTTCTAACAAAAGGAGGAGCCTCAGCTGATTCCAGCAGTGCTGCCAGTGCTGGGCAGAGCCTTAAAAATACCAATTTCTGGAAGCCCCTGGAATGTGGGAGTGAAATTGTGCCTGTGCAATTGCACAAGTCCCACTTGAACAGGAACCATGGATGTGACACTTGGCTGTAGGGGACAGCCCCTGCAGCTCTGGCCTGCACATCCCCCCCAGCCCTGGGCTGGGGTCACATCCCTCAGAGGCTCTCCCACAGATTCCTCACCTTTATCAGCTCTGAATGTAATCACCTTCTCACCTGGAACAGGCATGATTCCATTTTCCCTGTGCACAAAGCTGGCACTGCCCTTCTGCTGCCCTGGCTATTGGGGGCTGCAGCCTTCAGGCTGCTCCCAGTCTTTCAATTCCCTTGGAACAGCACAGCCAAGGAAAAGGAAAGGAACTTCTGTCCTCTCCACCTCGAGAGAGCCCCCAAATCTGTGATCAGCCCCAGTGCAGGGATTGGCTGATCTCCCTCAGTCCCAGCCCTCCGTGGACAGGCTTGTCTGTGAAAATTCCCAAACCTCAGAGCTCCCAGGGGATTGCTCTCCTCAGGGGCTCCAAACAGTCAGCAAAAAATGTTAACAGACTTGTCCTGCCCAGCATGGAACAGCCACATGGATGGTGCTTCCCAAATGGAAACCAGAGCAGGTCTGGTACCCCAAATCCTGCCTTGTTCCTGGTTTGCTTCACTTTTGTAGTTCCAAACTGGATGTTTAGCATGAACTGAGGGTGAAGTTTTGGAGTTTTGTAGCCAGAATTCCCTGTACAGAACTGGAATTCCTTGTTGAGGGTATGGATTTGTCAAAGCCTTACATTTTGTGGTGTAATTGCTATCCTTGAACGCCTCCATTTTTTGACAAGGAGTGTTTTTATCCTTTCTACAAGACCTGCCTTTCCCCTGGTTGGTGTTTGCACGGAAAGGGAAGGGTGCTGTGAACTCCCTGGAAATTCCCAGTCCCCTCCTGTGGGCAGGAAACCGGCACAGTTCCCCTCTGGCCCTTTTGTTTTCTCACAGCAGTGAGCAGTCCCTGGGCTGGGTCAGCCGGGAGGGCCAGGGAGGGCTCTCCCGGTGGAGAAACAGAGCCTCTCGGGTTTCAGAGCTCAGTTATGAGCTCATAGTCTGCGCAGAGCACGGCTGGGAGGGAACTCTTCATCAATCTTTAAAGCAGTTCTCTGCCAAGACAGCTCCCAGCACAACCTGGAATTCCGTATTCCAAGGTAAAAGAGCAGCCTGGTGTGGGCTGCTGCCACTGCTCAAACTGCTCCTTTGGCCAGGGAGCTCAGCTGCACCAGCAATGCTGGGTTACCCCAGGGCAGAGCTTCACCCAGGAGCCCCACATTCCTTCCTCTTCTGCAGAATTCTTTTCAGCAGGTAAAAAAGCTGAAATGGGACAAGGCCTCCTGTCCCACAGCTTGGTGTGCCCAGGAGGGGCAGCACCCAAAGCAGGGGACTGTCAGTGCCAGGGGGAATCCCATCCTGCTCCTGCTGCAGAGCAGGGAGGCAGGAATTCCTCTGAGCCAAGCCCATTGCTGAAGCAATTCCCTTAAATCCTCCTTAAACACTTCTTGAATCAGTTTCATCTGATTTGTGAGTCTGTTTTGTTTCTGTATCACAGGAAAAGTTATAAAGGTCTCTTAAACCCTCAGCGTGAGCAGAAGCAGTTCCTGCTGCTGAAATCCATGACAAAGTGAACTGGTTAAACTGGTGCAGTGTCTGTCCACAGACAGCCTGGAATGAGGCATTCCCAGCTGGAAAACTGCACTGCCCTGTGAAAAATGGCCCCAGTGAGGACAGAATAGCCCATAATACTCAGTTTTCCTACACATCTGTCCCTGATCTCAACAGGAGCCTGGTGTGTATGGAACAGACTACCTGAGGCTCCACACTGGATCTGGACACACATTGTCCATGTCCAACCCTCCTGGCTGTATCCCAGCTCCCCAGCAGGTGCACAATTTTCCCTGGAGCCAGTTTGCTCCCAGGAAATTTGATTTTCAATCCAGGATTCAAACTCAGCCTCAATCTTGTGTAACTCTGCTGTGTGTGAGCTGAACTTTCCATCTCATCACAACAGGTGAGGAGACTCTGGCCATGCCAATTCCACATCCAAGGGCTGGGGGAATTGTAAATACCATGGGAATTGGGCTTTCCTAGGACCAGCCAGCCTGAGAAGAGGGGAGGGATCCTCACTGCTGCTTCTGCCTTGGGTTTTTACACCACAAAATACAAACCTTTTTTTTTTTTTTTTCCCAAATATTTATTTGAGTACAGGAGTGGATTTTGATGTGATTTCAGTGTCCACTGTGAGGGAATTACTGAAGTGTTTGAATTTCCCAAGGTTTTTAATATTTACAGGAAGTGACTTTGGAGCTTGATAAATATTCACTGAAAGCATCTGAGGATTAAATGGCCATTATTAGTTACAGCATTATTACTTACACCTTTTTTCATTACACCTTTATTAGTTACTCCATCAGTAGTTACAGGTGGCAGCAAGCAGAGCAAGCCCAGCTGCAGTGGGATTTAATTCCCTGGGTTTTTACAGCATCCCTTTTCCAGTCATTCACCACAGTTTATCACAAAACCCTCCCATCCTCGTTAGTCCTGAGGCCACTGGGAATTCCCCAGTCTCTCCAGGGGCACTGCCCAGGGAATGACAGGCAGGGAATGCCCAGTTCCTGGCATTTTGCTGATCCAGAACCATTGGGATGAAACTCCAGCAGGGTCACTGTGCAGGTTTCCCCTCACCAAAGCAAGGGCAGGGCCTGTGCTCGGAGTTCCTGGAGCTTCAGGAGGCTCCTGGTCCTGGCTGGATGTGGCTTCTCTCTTTTGTAAAAGGAATTTCTTATGCTGAGACTCTTTGTACATATTTATAAGGAATTTATTAAAAAAAAAAAAAGAAAAATAACTGTTCAATGGCAAAAAAAGGCTCCGGGTTTTATTTCCTCTCCTAGAGGAATTTCCTTCCACAGCCTTCCCTGTTTTCCCATGGAAGTCAACAGGTTCCCAGCAGCTGGCATTGGAACTGAAGTTTCCCCTGGATGTTTTCTGGTCCAAGTGTCATGTTCTAGGAGAAGGCAGGACCATCCTCCCTAAAATACCACCCCAAAGCTTTAAGAATGCAAACCCACACTTTCCCTTTGATTTCCTGCCCTACCACCAATAAAAACTGAATTTGGAAGCAGTGTATCCCACACTTTCCTACTGAGCTTTTCCTACACTCCTCCAAACACATTTTCCAGGAGCATTTAGAGTAAAACATTCAGAATGAGAAGCAGCTTTTCAAACAGTTTGAAAGCAGAAACACCAAGCCTTGGGTTCACTGGCACTGCAGTGACACTGAGGCCTTTCAGAAGCTCCTGCCCATGGAATCACTGATTTCCCCTTTTCCTGCTGAATATTCCAGGCTATCACACATCACATTTTTTATGCCAAATGAAAACCTTGCTCCCTGCTGTTCTGAACTCTCTCCCATCCCAAAGACAGGGGAGCTATTCCCATTGCAGAGAGCAATGGGATTCCTTGGCTCAGTTCTCCACTTTCACAGGATCCATTAGACAAAAATTTGACATCACTTTGGTTTGGAAAGTAAAGCTTTTCCTCCTCTGCTTCCCTGGACCTCCCAAGCCGGGTTTGGACTGTGCCCAGCTCAGGCTCTGCTCTCACCACTCCTCCTCAGCCACACTGAGCTTATTTCCAAAGAAATGTGCAGCCTTCCTCCTGTTCCCATCAGCTCCTGTTGGCTTTAATTCCTCCCTGTGGAGTTTCCATCAGCACAGACAGAACCTCCTTCCCTCAGGAGCCTCTTCCTGCTGATGGCTCAGGTGGGGCTGTCACCTTCAGCCATTTCCATGGCAATGAGCTGGGGGATGCTGCTGCTCCTGGGGGTGGGAGCAGAGGTGGTTTGGGGACAGGGAAAGCTCCAGAACCAACAGCAGCTCCCTCTGAGGGCTTGTGCTGCTGGAGAACCTCAGCACAGAGCTCAGCCACAGGGATGGGGCTAATTCCTGTTAATGCCTGCCAGGGATCTCCTTCCTCAGGAGCTCCTGCTGAAGCTCAAGGCTCAGGTTTTCCCTGCTGGAAGACCCAGGCAGGTCCTGGCTGAGGAGCACAGGGCAGGGACACTGAGTTTGTGAGATGCTCTTAGACAGGTGCTGGATTTCCATCCAGACAAACCCAACTCAACTTCAACCTCCCTCTGCTCTCCCCAGAGACTGGGAAATCAGGAAGTCTCACCATGAAAATTAAAGAGGAAGAACATTTCCAGGGAAAGGAGGTGTCATTTCCAGCTTCACTGGCAGGATCCTTCCCAAGCTCCCTCTGATTTTCCAAAGTGACAGCACATGCCACTTGTGGAATCAACTGGAAAAACAGCAGCTGGGAAATGACATTTCTGCAAATGCAACTGTGGACACGAGATTCTGAAGCACAGCTTGGGAAGAGTTCTCAGAGAGAGGTGCTGTGTAATTCTGTAAAGTCATGGATTCAGGGAATGCAGGGCCAGGTGATGTGGAGCTCCTCAGCCAGAGCACAGCTTTGTCCAGCACATGCACTCACAGCTCCCCTGCCCTGGACACGCAGTGTTTGTCCATACTGAAAGGACAGGAAAACAGGAAACATCCCAGACACTCTATAACCCTGTGAGCTCCAGAAACACCCTGGAGTTCACCACAACATAACCCACACCTCCCCTGCTTCGAGGGCAAAGTTTGCGGCCAGTCACAATTGTTGTGTTGGCTCAGAGCTCAAGAAGTTCTGACAACAGAACTGGGATCCTGGGACAACAGAGCAGGAATCCTGGGATTTTCCAGCTCCGTGCCTGGTGAGCTGCCCTGCTGTCAGTACACCTGCAGGTGGGCAGAGGTGGTGCCATCCTTCCAGCAGCGCAGCGTCTCCACGGTGACCGAGCGGCACAGGGGACACGTCTTCTCCCGGTCGAACCACAGGCACAGGCACTCCTCACAGAACACGTGCTGGGGACACAGGGGCTGTCACCAAGCTGTGTGTTCTATCCCCATCTGTCAGAGCTGGGCAGTTCTCTGCTGTTCTAGAACTGTTATTCCTGATCCCATATCTTTGCCTGAGAGCCCCTTAATTTCAAAATTATAATAATTCAGAGAGAAGGGGTTTCCCCTTTCCATTTCAGGGGAGGCTCCTCCCTTCCTCAGCAGACACCTGGCTTTTCAAACCAAGACAGCCACCAGCAGGTGCAGCTGGCACTCGCAAAATAAACCCCAGTTTATTCCAGTGGCACTCACTGGAAATAAACCCCAGTTTGCCAAAGTTGTGCTTTTTAATAACAGCACTAGAAAGAAACTTTCCAAAGGCATACAACACCTGGGCTGAGAGGGTTTTCCTCTCCCGGATTTCCCTCCTCAGTTCCCTGTTATCTAAGTCCTTCCTGAGCTCCCATAACCTCTTTCTTCCCCCTGCTCCTGGCATTTGCTTTATTCTGCACTCCCAGTTTCCTCTTTTCAGTAAATGTCAGTTTTCATCCCTGATCTCCTCCTCTGGTTTCTGCAGTGAGCCCTCCCTGGGCTCTCCCCAGCACACACCATCCACCCCAGACTGGGAGAGCAGGAAAAGGGCAAGGGGGGAGCACGAGGAGCTGGGAGAAGCTGGGAACTCCTCCACACATGAGGAGTCAGCAGAAATGTCACTCCTCAAATCCCAGCTCTGCCAGCAGATCCAAAAGCAGCTTCTTGGGGACTTCCAGCTTGGAAACATCTGCACAGATGTTCACAGCAAGGCTAAGAGGCACCTTTGGTGCACAGGATGGCTTTAATTTGATAACCCTGTTATCCAAAGGGAGTTTCAACCCACCCAGCCCTCCCCAGGGCAGGTAAACCCTGCTCACTCTAGCCCCAGGGTCTGCGCTGCCCATTGCAGCCCCTGCCCCACAAGGCTGTGCCCACCCCACAGCCACAGTCACAGCTGTCACCCCATCAGCTGCCACAACCCAGTGGTTGCCCAGGGCAATAAACACCCCCCAGGAGCTGGATCAAGAGCCAGCAAAGTCCTTCAGGAGTTCCCAGGCTGGCTGTGCCTCTCCCCATGCAGGAGCTCCCTGAGGGAATGGCAGCAGGGGAGTTTTGGGGTCTTACCTGGCACAGGAGGATCAGAGGTTCCCTGAACTCTGCCTGGCAGATGGCACAGATGTCCCCTGCCTCACTGCACTGCTGGCTCGTGGCACGGACTCCATAGGTCTGCCAGGGACAGGTGGGGAAAAACAAACCTCATGTCAAAGGATTGGAAGAGGAATGAGCACAAAGATTGCTTCTCACCCTCAGATTCCCCACAGGGGCAGCAGTGTCACTGTGTGGGGAAGGGGGATCTCTGCTCCCTGTCTGCCTTTCCCCTGGAGCTGACTCCATCTTTTAGGGCCTCCACTTGTGCAGCAAGGATAATGGAATTTAATGAGCTCAACAGGGAACTGAGAGGATTAATTCAGCATCATTTGCAGGGGTGTTTAGATAGAGGGAGGGATTATTATTATTATTAGCAAGCAGGAGACAATGGAAGAAAGAGAAAGCAGCAGTACCCACAGGCTGTCCACTTCCCCTTTAGATACATGGGAGGTAAATGTTGCTTCTCCCCCTGTACCAGATTTAGGGCAAACAGAAACCTGTGGAGGGAAAATGACCAGCCCAAGCCCAGGGAATAAGCAAGATAAGCTCTAACAAACTTTGATGAGGTTCTTTTCCTCTACAGCCTTTGATTTTACTCTTTTAAAATGTAAGTCACTGCAGCAGATCTAAATATCAGCCCTGTGGAATGCAGTGCCTGGGATAATTCCTGGGCACTGAGGGTCTCTTTCAGTGCCACTGCACATCAGGCACCACAAAGCCCTTCCCACACTCTGCACTACAAAGTTTTGTCAGCTCCTTGCAGTTGGATTAATCCACATTACACAGAGCCTCCAATCAGACAGAACAGGAACAATCTCCCACCACAGCTGGGGCAGGGCAGATGTCAGAAAAGGTCCCTGACAGGAGCCCCCAGCTTGTCCAGCCATGGGCTAACATTGTTTTATTCTGTGGTCCTGAGCAATTTTCATTTTATCATTCAGCAGGAACAAGGCTCCACCTCTGGGACTGCTCCTCCATGTTGAACTCCTTACCTGGGGGGTGCAAAGGACCTTCAGTGCCTTCCTGACACTTCCCACACGGCCACAGATGTCAAAGGACTGCAAAAAACACATCCCATTTCAAATAATTGTCACAAAATCTCTGTGTGTGTGTGTGAGTCCAGAAACTCAGCAAACATTCTCCAAATGGATACTCAGAGGGGAAAAAGTAACAATGGTGCCAAAAAAGATTTCATGGTGATCATGAAATATGTAATAAATGGGAATTGACAGTGGGGAAGGGTGGCCAGAAAAGCTCTGGGAGCGCTGACTGCAAAGTGGGGACTTTACAGGACACAGAGGGGCTGGCACCAGCCTGGGCTGGGGACAACTGCCCATCCCACTAAGCAGGGAAGGGCTAAAATGGACCTGTTCCCATAGGGAAGGGAAAGAGGAGGAAAGGAAAGAGGAGGAAATCTGTTCAAACCGGAGAGAGGAGAGGGCAGGGAAGAGGAGAAAACGAAAACCTAACCCAGTCCATGATCCTTCTCCTTCCTACCTGCAGGCAGAGCACAGGGAAAGCTCACTGAACTAAAGATGTGACAAAGTGACAGCGCAAGGAGCAGCTGGGGCTGGTGGCACAGCAGGAGCTCTGGCTGTCACCTGAGGCAGGGGAGGCTGTGGGGCTGCAGCTGCAGAGCTGGAGCAGCACTGCACAGGCACAGAGAGGAGTTGGCTTTCTGCTGCTCAAGTGGTGTTGGTGAGAGTGATTGAGTGGGCTCACTGCAGGGAATGCCAATGAGCTCATCCTGCAATGCAAGGGGAAGCAAATGAGGCACCAGTGATGCTTCCAGTCAGCACACACAGGCCTCAAGGCTCCTTCCAGTAATGCTCCCACCCAGCAGCCACCACCTGGGGCTGCCCACTGCCTCAGACATCCCACCTCCTACCAGGGATGGGGGTCAGCCCTTTCTTTCCCAGTGCAATTCCCAGCTTTTCCTGCTTGCTTTGCTTACAGCATGACTCCAGTGCCTTTGCTCTGATGTCCCCTTTCTCCCAGACCATATTTCCCCCTCATTTCTTTCCCTCTGGAGCTCCCTGCACCCCCAAAAGCTGCATGTTTCAGAGGGCCACCACCCATTTCTTGTTGTACCAGCCATCACTTCACAACTGGGTCACACACAGGGAGTGCTGCTGCTCAGGACAGGCAAAAATTCCAACCTGGCTGCTCTGTGTGTGAACACCTGGGATTTCTCCACCAAAACCAGAGGCTCCTGGCTCCACAGGACAGAGGCCAGCAGAGCTCCCAGCAGCCTCCTGGAAGTGCTCCTGCCCTTTGTGCAGGGGAAGGGGACGCAGCCCCAGCCCAGCCCTGGAATTCTGCCAGGAGCACTGGAGCTCTCAGTGCCAAATTGGCTTCTGTGGTTTTCTAATGTGGTTTGTGGCTTTGCTAATGTGGATTCCTCTGGGGATATTTTCAGTGTCTCAGGCAAGGAGCTGGACCTGCAGCTCTGGGGACTGGAAATGGGATGGGCAGAGCCAGGGCTCTGTGCCCTGCATTGGGAGAGGAGCTCCCCCTTTCCTTCCACTTCCAGGCAAAGGCTTGGTGTGCACAGGCCTGACCCTGACCTGGACACAAATCTCCCAAAATGAAGCTGCTTTTCCAATCTAGATCACCCCAACACTCCCTATAAAGGCTTCACAGGACAGGAACATCAAGTTAACCCCTGAGGAGCTGCTCCCACCTGTGCCAGGCCCTGAGGAGCCTCACCTGGGCTCTCCTCCCACAGCCCCTGCCCCTGGGCTCAGCAGCTCTAGTTCAGCTCAGCCCTGGAGGTCTCAGCTCATGGCTGGGTGTCTTAGGCTGGAAATGCAGGATTTAGCTGGAGGTGTGTGTTCTATCCCCATCTGTCAGAGGTGGGGCAGTTCTCTGCTGTTCATGGGGCAGTTTTCTTTATCTCTCCCACAGCCAATCCTCCCTCCAGGAGATCTCTGCTGTCCATGGCCACTGAGTGTCCCTGCATGGCTGATCAAATTCCAGCATCCCATGGGAGATGCTCTGCCCAGGGGAGGAGCCAAGCATTCCTACCTGGATACAATCTGAGCCTGGAGCAGCACAGCAGCCTTTGCCCACTGCATTCCCAGAGGAGCAGCTTTCTCCTGCCCTGCATTCCCAGAGGGAGAGCAGGCCCATCTCCAGCAGCCCTGGAGCTTCAGAGGAAAACTCCAGCCTTGTGCAGGATCCCTGCTCCAGCAGAACCACAGCTGGCACTGCAGGAGGGCTGAGCCCCCATGGGATGGGACTGTGCCACCACCCTGACACACAGGGGGTCACGGCCTCTTCTGACTCTGGCAGTGGTGTTTTGTATTACTGCATTTTTATTTTACTTTTATTTTTTCCTTAATAAAGAACTGTTATTCCTGATCCCATATCTTTGCCTGAGAGCCCCTTAATTTGAAAATTATAATAATTCAGAGGGAGGGGGTTTGCCTTCTCCTGCCTTCCTTAGCAGACACCTGTCTGTTCAAACCAGGACACTGAGCAGTGCTCTCAAGGTGCTGGTGTCCAGTTGAGCTGTGCCTTGCTCCAGGTTCCCCTGCTCTTCACCCCCCAGCAGCTGGGGTGACTCCTCATCCTCCCCCTGAGCCTGCCTCATTGCTGGGCTCTGCCCTGCAGCTCTTGGACTCTCTCTGACCGTGCCTGGGGAGGCCCTTTCCTGCCAGCTGTGGTTTTGAGCTTGGCTCCCCTTGCTCCCAGCAGCAGAATTCCCCACCAGCACCTTCCCACTCTGAGGGCTTCTCCAGGTGTAAGAAATGCCATGTGGAACTGCATCCCTCTTCTAGGTGTTGAGCTACTTTTGCAAGCAGGGGACAGGAAAGATCACTTGAAACCTGTTCCTGTCCACCTGTGGTCTGCAAGGAGGGGTGGATTCTGCAGTGGGTCCAGGCAATGACAATGAAAGGGCCACCAGTCCTCCCCCCAGCACAGGGAGAGGAGCTGGGGCTGAGGGATGTGCAGGGAGCTGCTCCTGTCCTGGCACTGCTTGCTCTGCTCCTGGCTGGGCTCTGGCCTGCTGTGACCACACCACTTCACTGGCCATGACCTCCTGTGCCTGATTTGCTCACAAGAACTGTAAAGGCCTCGACATGAGGGGTGGCAGGACCCTATTCCTGCACAATACTCCGTAATTCAGCACTGCTCTGCTCTTCTGAGCTGTATCCCGCTTGGATATATTCTCTGTTCTTCATTTTTCAGTCTGCTCCTGCAGAGTCACAGGCACAGACAGGGATCTGGGATGGAGCAAGCCTGGCCCTTCTCAGAGGGGTGAACATCTGGTTTATCAGGGTTTGCTTCAGCTACTGCCCTGCCCCTGAGCAGGGTTTAACACACACCACTAGAATGACAATTATTTCTAGACCCGAGACTCCCCTGACTAAATCACACCTACTCATTTACATTTGTACCAACTTTGTGCTCTTATTTTTGAGGAAACATGAATTTCCCCTGTCCATCACTTGTGTCAGCCAGAGCAGGGCCTAGAATGAGACCTGTTTTATCCAGGCAGGACTTGGCTGCTGCTTTCCCTCCCTGCTGCACTCAGAGCTGTGAGTGGCAGAGGAAAGCTTAGAGACAGCCATGAGTGTCTGCAGCCTGCCTTTGTGTGACATCTGGAGGTGTGCAGCCAGCCAGCACTGCTCCCCCAGGACCAGCTCCCCTTCTCCTGCAGCCTCTGCAGAGAGGGATTAGCAGAGCAGCAATGACTTCATGAGTCTGATGCAACCCTGGGAGCAGGCTCGATCCTCCCCCAGCCCAGCAATGCCCACATGCTGGGCAGCAAAATGCCTTTGGCAGCTGAAGCAGGCGGTGCTCCTGGGCAGGGACAGCCACAAGCAAAAGGAGCATTTGTCCCTTCAGCTGTGCTGCTCCCCTGGCCCAGCTCCCAGGGAATGTTCAGGAGGTGCTGCTCACCTTGCAGAGGCTGTACATGATGATGAGGATGCCACCCAGGAAGTAGCTGCTGGATGGATCATCCCCCATGATGTATTTGTACCACAGCTGGATGGGCACCAGGGAGCGGAACAGCTGGCTCAGCTCCTCAATAATCAGATAAAACTTTCCCTGCAAGACAAGCAGGCAAGTGAGACCATGATTATTATCAGGAAGTCAAAAGAAGAACATTTAATTTGTGCAGGGCTGTGCTCACTGATCACTGCACTGTTAAATGGTGCAGAGCCCGCACTCATGAGATGCAGCTTTCCCTGCAGCCCCCCAGCTCTGTGCCCAGAAAGGATAAATATCCCTTCATGCCTCCACAGGGCTCAGCTGAACACAAGCTGAACAAGCCACTAAAATATTCACTTGGTTTTTTACTGTCAACTTAAACCTGAAATTTGAAATCAATGAAATCTGCTGTGCAGCATTTTGGAATTATAAACTTTAGAGCAGGTTATGGATAGGCAATAAATTGTGTGTCTGGACAGTGCTGCAGAAAAACAAAGGTTAATATGGGATTAACAGGATGCAAGTTGTAGACATCATTATTAGTGAGAAAAGGAAAGCAAGTTAGATCTCTGACCTTACAGCCCTTCTGAAGGTACAGGGATTAAATGTAAAGTAACTCCAGTCTTCCTGGCAACTTTTTAGGTAATCCCAAAAAATCAAATTAATTATGTTTGACAGCATCCTTCCCCTCCCCCTCAGGTGTGTGTTGGCTCTTGGGCAGTGCACAGATAAAAAAACTGGGGTTGGAAATTAAACCCTCAGGGCATTTAAAACTCAGAGGGACCAAACCTTCCTGAAGACCTCAAGGCAGGGAAGGTGAGGAGGGGGAAGTGTGCTGCTTGAAATGCTTCTCTCAAAAGAGACTCAAAGAATGGGCAACACCCTTTGTCAACCTTCACCAAAGCCTCAGTAAGTGTCTCATTTAAGGCCACCCCCAGTTTGTTCTGTCCCACGCTGTTTTCAGGGACAGCTGGTGGCAAACGAGCCCAGAAGGATGCTTAATCTGCAACGACATTATCTGAAAGATTTGGGTTTGTCCTGTCAAAATCCTTTTATCTGCTAAGCTCCTGGAGAAGGGGAAATTCCCCTGGAATTTTGCTGTGTTGTCCCAGTTAGCTCTGTCATCAGTGATGTCATCGCAGGCCAATCACTAATTGCTGCGGTGGGGATGGGGATTGAGTCCTCGCAGCCGGGCTGGCAGCAGCCAGCGCCCTTCCCCGGGGGCTGCGATGAGATCACTCGCAGGCCATCCTGCTGCTCCCGACAATCCAATCCTTCCCACAGCTCTGGCACGCTCATGAGCTCATGTCCCCCGGGATGGGAGTGAGGTCACACAGCGGCTGCTATCGGACCCGGCTGCTTCCCTGCACTCCCCATCCCATCCCCCTCATCCCCACCCCACCCCCATCCCCATCCCATCCCATCCCCGGCACAACCCCGGGCAGCAGCCGCAGCAGTCCGGGCTCGGGAACGCCCCAATTTATTCAATTAGCACTCGGGTCTCTCCCAGCCCGGTGCTGCGATGCAGTCATGGTTTATTTTGGGTGTTGCTGGGGCAGAAATGACAACGCTGTCATCGTGTCCCTCCACCGGGCTCTGATGAAAGCTCCCAGCAAGATAAACGCAGCGAATTTTGCTGTTTTGCTTTCTGCACTCATCCCTCCCACCCTCCATCGGTCCCTGCTGCTGGCTGGGACAGGTCACCGCTTGCTGTCCCATTGCATCATCCTGCATCCTGCATCCCGGCTGGAACTCTGCTCCGACACAACCTCCGAGTGCTGAAAGCACAGCGTGCACAGCCGGGCACAGCCCCGGGGCACCGCCAGGCTCTGGAGGTGGCAGTGGCAGCAGTGACAAACTTCAGCATCCAACCACAACTTCTGCACCCTCCCAAGAGCTGCCAGAATTCCCGTATCTCCAGTTTCCAGTGGTAACTGCAGGGTAGCAGGATTTTTTAGCAGCTAGAAACTTGGTGACAGCCTCCCGAGAGTGAAGTTTTAAGGGATGCATCCCTCCCTGCAGCCCCCTAGCAGCACCCACCTGACCAGAAATGTTGGTAACTTTGGAGTGATTCCAGCAGGGCAGCTGAGCATCACTCGAAGAGAACTAGAAACTTCAGGCATCCCAGTGCACCACACCAGCCCCTTTTTCAAACTAGGAAAAGTGCCAGAAAATCAGAAATAATTCTATAAAGGGCTGATGCAGAAGTGAGACCCTCCTTCTGAGCCAGAAGCTTGGAAAATGAGGATTGTTCCCTAAAATTTCAGCAGTAAAATGTAGATTTCTGATAGCAGCAACTTACTGCAGACAGCACCCATCGGTGGGAAGCACACTCAACATACCTGTGCCACTTCTCAGCTCTGTTACCTCTTGGCTACCTAGGTTACATTTTTCAAAGTCAAACCTTTGTCTTGAGCTGTATTTTGTCTGAAAAATTCAGCTAAAATACATCAGCTTTTTTTTTTTCCCCTTCAAGATTAGAACTGTGTGTTATATGAAGCACAAACATAATTATTTGTCCTGTGCATCTGATTTGGCACCACAGCTTGGAATAAGGCAAGGTGAGTCTCTGCCACGTAAGTTCTCCTATGTCACAAAAATCCCTGTAAATCTGGGAATTTTCTCTGGAATGTAGAAAGGTTGAAGAGCTCTCTAAGATCAGGAGAATCTTTCTGGTGGGCCTGTGAGCCAGCCCTAGTGCAGGACTGGACAGTGTGGGAACTGCAGAGATTAAATAGGATTTTACCTGGAATTATGGCTCCTGATGAGGGTGGGGGTCGGGACCAGCAGAAAGGCTCTGCTCTCATCAAGGTTAAGCCTGCCCAAGAAGTGAGAAGGGCAGAGCTGGCCCTGCTTCCTCTGAGGGAGCTGCTGCTGCTATCAAACACTTCATTAGCACACGTGGGGAAGGGCTGTGCTGGGATCTAATTTTAGCAGCTCTGCTGATGAGCCTCAGATACCACATGGAGAAATTTTGATTCCTTTTTTTCAGTGCTCAGTTAAAAACACAAGTCAGTGGCTGGTGTATAATCCCCCCATTTTCCTGAACCTCCTTCACCACACAGAAATACCATTCTTATGGTGTAAACCAAGCCCTTCTTTTGAAAGAGGGGAATTCAGCATTTTCACACAATTGCACTTTCCCTTCTGCACATGCAGAGTTTCAGTCTGTACTGCACTGTTTTTGCATGGAATTTCTGGGTATTTTGTTACATCCTCACTACCTGATGGCAGATCTGCATCTGATCCCTTCCTGCCATTTGAGCTCTGCCCAGAGGAGCACATTCCTGGAATTTCTTCACTCCCTTTATGAGATCAGCACAGCAGAAAACACTTTTAAAACCCCTTTGTTTTCATGCTGCTGGCTGACCTCAGGGACAGCTTTTCTCTGCATTTTCTAAATGAGACACACAAAGACAAAGGTCAAGGCAGGGCTGTTTTGGTGTCCAAGCTGAGGTGCTGGGATTAGACCTTTTATAAAGCACTTCATTTTCTAGATCACGTTACCATTAAAAGCTGAACCCCTGACTTAGTTTGCAGCTCTACCTGACTTCTCTAGACTCACACAGGAATTATTTGGCAAAGTAAAGGACAGGATTTAATTCTCCAATGTAGCAACTCAACTTGAATTTGTGGAATGTTCTTCTCTTTGTTTCCTGTGAACTTTCCAGTTGCTGCAACAGCTTCTTTCTAACCCTCACCTTCATCCTTGGGGCATGGTGATGGAGGGGAGAAGTCTCACAGAAAAATAACACGGAACAGTGTAATTAAAAACAGAATCCCAAGCTAGACACAGCAAAGGAGGCAGGCTGCAGCAGCAGAGGGAATGCTAACTCCCCCAGGGCTCAGTGTGCAGCCTCCTTTGCCATAAGGCTCTGCCTCAGTGTGCCTCCCACAAGGAACAGAGAGGCACAGCAAGGATTGACACGCTGCAATCAGAGTGGGGCAGGCAGGAGAAGTGAGAGAAGTTGCAATGAGGCAACTGCAAGGTGTGATTAGCACTCGAGGGAAGCTCCAAGTCTCACTTGTTCTGCTGCCAGCAGCATTAGGGCATATTCTTTAACATGCTTGAAAAAGCTTTGGAGTCCTGCTGGCAATTTGGATCAGGGGAGAGCAGGCTCCGCTGAGATTCCAGGTCATGGTGCCAACAGATCAAGTGTTGGGTAGGAGCAGTAAAACAGAAAATTCCCAGATTTACACAGCAAATGGCATTGTGGCATTGTTGGTGAAAATCCATGCAGGACTAATGAGGAGTAATGTCAAGGTGGGACTAGAGGGGAAATTGAGAATTTCAGTTAGTGTACAATGCTCCTGAATATCACATCTTTTGTATCTTAAACTGGAAAGTTAAACTGGGAAAGCACTGAAGAGCAATGATTTTAAGAAGTTCAGCAGCAGTGACTTGCAAAGCAAGTTTAGGGAGGGGGATAGAGGAGTCCCCACTCCTCAGTACCTGCTCTTGCGCTTCAGTTAGTTTTTTAATTTTGTAAATAATAAATCCCACACTTGTGACTCTGGGACAGCACATCAGTCCCAGCTGCAGCAGGGAAAAGTCCTTGCAGAACACCCTGGAGCTCCTGTGGCTCAAGAGGACCCAAGCTCAGACTGCTCCATAAGGAGTGACTGTTTGTGAGTTAGCTCCCCCAAAGAGGACCCAAGGTCAGAGAGGAGAGGGAATGAGAGCATGGGCTCTCACCTGCCTGGGAGCACCTCTTCAGCCACACTGTGAGGGAGGAGCAGCAAAAAATTCCATGCTGCACAGACAAGGACCAGGAACATCTTTGCCTGGGTATTTTTTATTTAACATCATCTATGAGCCAGCTCCCAGTGAGTTTTTTATTTCTTCTGTATTTTTAGAGGACTCAAATGCTCCAAGAGCCTTTTTTTTTCCCCCCCCTTAGGACAAAAAAAAAAAGGTGCAGTTTCAGAAGGAATATGGAAATTAATGTGCCAGGTTCCATGGCAGAGCTGTACACATCTATGACAGGAAATGTGATGTGCACCTGAAGAAGGTTTTTGGTCCAAGGTCCAAGTGCAGAATTTGCAATTGCTGCCACATCCAGGCCAACTTTTCTCTTACCAGACTTGATGAGATGGTACTTTAAAAATAAAAAGCACTAATAAAACAATCAACTGGAACAAACCACCAAGCAAGTATTTTCAAAGCTGCAGTGAGGGGCCAATGTCAGTGTTCTCCTTTGCACTTTCACTCTCCTGGAAATGCAGCTCCCTGTAACTTGGCTCTGCACTGAGCATGTAGAGAAAAATCTTACTGAGGGCTCTTCTTATGTATTAAAATGTTCATGGTATCTCTGTCCTCTCTAGGGATAGGGACACACAGATGGAAGAACTTGGGGTAACAGTTTCTTACAGTCCTATTTGGTTTGATTTTCCTTCTCCCTCCCCCCATGTTTCACTCACTTCTCCAGCTCAGATTGCTGACAACAACATGAGGAGGGGATGGGAGGCTTGCAGGCACCTGGGATTTCCTAAGTGAAATCTTTGGCAAGTCTGTCTTTTTATTATTTATTTCCTGATTTTGAATTCCACCCCCCTCAAGCTGTCATTCCTTAGCAGTGAAAATGAAAAGCTGCCCTTGATGTGTACACAACAATGGAAGCCTCTGCAGGCCACATGGCTCCTGCAGTTTAATTTACTTTAATTCATTTTATATTGAACCAAATGATCTTATTTGCCTTTTTTAATGGAGAGCCCTCAGCCAAGCCCTCCCTTCCAAAGGAATGATGAGCTCAGCTGTTACTGAAACTTGTACCCAGCTCAGTGTCCCTGTCACTGCCTGGGGGCAGGGAGGGACACCTCCAGCACGGGTGGGATCCTCTGGAAACTCCACAGAGCTCTGGGATTAGTCTGATGCTGGGGTGACCTTCCTTTTCCTGCTTTTCTCTCCAATCCACAAGCTCTTCTTTCCCTGCATTCCAGCCTGACTGGTGCCTCTGTTGTCCAGGTTGGTTTGGAACCTGGGAGTCTGGGGTTATTTTGTCAGAATTTCAGTCTTCCCTCATTCTTTGGAGGAGTTGCTCTGAATTTCTGAGTTACTCAGGCTTGGGGAACTCTGGCTGGTTGTACCCTCACGATGAAGCAGCTCTCATGCTTCACACTTCCAGCACCCATGATGATGGGTTTTGCCCACTGTGCAAAGACAAACTTTTTCTGCCCCTCAATTTTAGTTCACTTTCTCTCAGTTAAAGCATAAACTGATGCTACAAACCACAGAAGCTTACAACAAAAATTGCCCTTCCTGTGATGGGCCATACTAGGAAAACATGACCCAGGTACTTTGGATGGGGGAAATTGAGTGTTCTGACCCAGATTTTTCATGTGTTTACTTTCAAAATGAAAAGGTTCATCCAACTGATGAAAAGCAGAGTTTAGTGCTATTCACTATTGTCATTGATGATCTTGATGGAACAAAGTAAGGTACAGCTGACACTAAACTGTAAGCACAATTGGAAAGAAGGATTATATTCCAAATTCATCTTGACAGACTGGAGAAATGGTCTGGAAAACAAGGAGGGAATGAAGACAGTCCAGAAGAGAATAATAAGATCTGGAATTAACAATCTCCGAGAAAAGACTCAAAAAATGTTGGAGTTCAGTCTACAGACAAGAGTGAGGGGAGATATAGAGACTGATAAATAAGAGCAAAAACCACACAGTATTCAGAGAAAACCAGGATCCCAAGGAGCAGCAGAAAAAGCCAGACTAGCTTTGCAAGTGCCTTTCAACTTCCAAAATGAGGAAAATCCAAAGAGCCAGCTCAGAGGCTGAGTGCAGGATGATTAAAGTTCCCCAAATCCCACCCAAGGGCAATTTTAGGATCTACTGCAGACTGCCAGCAGCTAAGGATTAAATCCCTGAGTACTGAACTCCAGCCCTGAGAGTGCAGCAAACTCCAGGTTCTCTACCAGGGGAGCAAGAGGCTGCTGTTCTGAGTAAACTGGCACAAAAACTTCTCACTATATAGAAATACCCATCTTGAAAAAATCAAGCTCTGCTGAGTTAAATTCATATTTCTCCAGCAGCCTGTTACCATTAAGTGACAACTACCCAGACGTTTATAAACTCCAAGCTGAGCTTCAGGCAGAAATACTACTTGGAGAACACTCGGAGGAAGAGAATAACTTTGTATCTGGCAAGTATTCAGAGAAAAAAAATTGATAAAAATTTTTGTCAAAGTTAATGTGCCTAAATTGCACCAGAAGTGTTCAAAGTGAGCAAAAGGTTCCATTTAAATCCTCACCTGTGCTGGCCTGTGCAGGTCAGGGGTCAGCAGGCTCAGGGAAGGAGCTCAGCTATGTGATCACCAATTACCATTTCCATGGTGTCCTGTGGTTCTCCTGGAGCCCTCCCATCCCAGTTTGATCTTGCTTAATTTGTTACACCAGATCTCACCCTTAGCTGGATTAAAGGCTGCAGAGTGGGGGAGAGAACCCCCAAACCAAACCCAGATCTGGTGGTGGTACCAGCAGTGAGACCATCCCCAACATCCTAAGACAAAAAAGGGGCTTAAAAAAAGTGAGACACATTGGTCTCCAGAAAAAGGTATTAAAAATGAAGCATCTGTGCTCTGAGTCATTACAGGCCCTTGACAGATGTGATCCTACCAGCCTCTCACTGGAGCTGCAAATAAAGACCCCTTCTCTTTCTTCTCTCCAGACAAGGATTAATGAGTACTTGGGATGGCTCTCAGACAAGCAAGCAAAGGCTGTGAACCTTTTCCAACACTGCCATTTATCTTGGGAGGACTATTCACATCACTTCTCCCTCCCTCCCCAGCCTGGATTATGCTCTGACCCAGCACATTAATCTCCCAAAATATAATAATAATAATAGAAGGAGGGAAAAAAAATCTGGACAATTGCCAGAATTAAATTAAATTAATAACCATCTCAGATAGCCCTGCTGTGCAGGAGCAAACTGCTCAACTCCCCTGCCACCCATGTCATTTCTAAGCAAAACTATTCCCAGTCTAGATACCCCCTGAAGTGCCCTGCCTGAGACTTTCAGCAATTACTGCTGGCACCTGGCATCTGCAGAGTGCCTTCCATCCCCACAGCTGCCAGAGGTTTCTTTACTGAATGCAAATAACACACATTGCTACACCTGCCCCTGAAATGGGGACACTGCTGAGTGGAGGAAGAGGCAGCATGAGAGAGCTGCAAAATAAAAACATATCAAAAGGTGTTTGGAATGAGAGAGAAACTTTTAGAAGTCAGGCTTAGTCTATATGTGTTTCATAAACATTTAAACGTGCAGCATTTAATTAATTTTTTTTTCTCCCATGGTTAGAACTGGTGCTGCCTTTTGTGGCTTCAGTTTAACCCAGTTACTTCTTTGACCCAAGTGGGAAGCCAAAGAGACAAATATTTACAATTTCTTCCCAGAAAATGAAGAGGTTCCTGCTTCAGAAATATGAATTTACAGAGATTACTCAGAAAACAAGACTTAAAGTCAATGAGAAAAGCAGTTATCTGGCTGCTAGCACTGATCCTCCTCAAGCAATGCTCACCTCACCTCCCTGGACTTTAACCACTGCTGGTAGTACCAAACCCTTGCTCAGGTCTGTGATGGCTCGAAAACCACCCCTCGACCCCAGGTGACTTTCTGCCAAAGATTTAGCTCAGATTTTAATGGTTTTATTTTTCCATCCATACTTGGCCCTGGCACAGGGTGCCCAGAGCAGCTGTGGCTGCCCCTGGATCCCTGGCAGTGTCCCAGGCCAGGCTGGACAGGGCTTGGAGCAGCCTGGGACAGTGGAAGGTGTCCCTGCCATGGCAGGGGTGGCACTGGGTGGGATTTAAGGTCCCTTCCCACCCAAACCATTCCCTGATTCTCTGATTCCACGCTGCAAACATGTGGTGAAGGTATCAGATTATCAAAGACAGAGGTCTGTGCCTCAAGAAGAGTCTCCTACCTTTGACTTGACAGCGAGGATGATCTTGGGCAGGGCCACCACGAGGCATTTCAGGGCAATGGTGAGGTACTTCAGCACAAAGTCTGCAATGCCCACAATCCACATCAAGTCAAAGAAGTCCAGCTTGTCCAGGTTGGGTTTCAGGAATATAAGGCTGAAAGAGACACCAAAGCTCAAATACCACTGAGGAGAAGCTTGCTGGCTAGAGAGAGCCCAGCAAGTCCCCTGAACTTCAGGGAAGTTCTCAAGGGCAAGAGCAGGAAGACACACAAATCAGGTCTGGGCTTCCTCTGGGCCTCCTGACTCTGCTCTTGCCCACTTCTACAGGGGTCAGCAGGTTTGCCCACTGTCACAAAACAGGGCCCAAACACCCACAGTGTCTCTTTGGAACCCAGCAGTGTCCATAACCTGCCCTTCCCACTGGCTGGGGCGCCTGGGGCGCTGACAATGCACAGCGTGGGATCCGGGTGTCACAGCTTGTCCTGGCAAGGACAGCCCTGCTTCCCTGGGCAAGGGAACAGCCCCTCAGCCCCTGAGGCTGCTCTGCCACAGGGGCACCGTCCCCAACCTGCTGGGCACATCAAACAAAGTGGTGACACAGGAAACCCTGCACCAGCCACGGCAGAAAGGTGAGAGCTTCACACGTGTCCTGCTCTGACAGTGCCACTGCCTGAAGCACAACAAGAGCTGGGCTCTGTTAATACTCTTACCTGAACCAAAGATTCAAAAATTAATGTCCCTTACATAATGTCATTTACTGGGCTGAACATTTGCTGTTTAAAAAAGTGGAGTCTGGGACAGCAGAATTTCACCCAGCAATGGGCAGGAGCTACTGGCCTGAGCAATAATGAGAACTAGACCCTAGTCAGGCTGAAAAAAACAGGATTCATCCTCAGGGTATTTACCTGCTAAAGCCTCATGGCAGAAAGCAAAAACTTAACTGGAAAAAAAAGAAAAAAAGAAAAAAAGAAAAAAAAAACACCAAAAACCAAAAGGAAAGTAAAGTAACCAACCCAAAATGAAAAGCCTGAACATAAATTTAAAATACTCACAACACTGGCACAGCACAACAGGTAAAATTACACCCTAAAAACAGAAACAGAATCAGAAACTTTACTACTATTCATGCACTAGAAACAAGAAAAAAAATCAGGAAATGAAAAATTAAAGAAAGAAATAGAACTGAAGCAGACATTTCTAATTTGACAAGCCTGGCTTGTGAGTAGTCCCAGGTCTAGCAAGCAAGAGATACACCATGAGCATGACAGCACTGCAGCACTCACAGGAACAGGGCTGTTCCTGGAGCTGTGGCCCAGCCCAGCCACTGCTAATAAACCACACTCTAAATGTCTGTAAGATGCCCCCAAATTGCTAAAATCCCTTTATTTTAGCTGCTTTAGCCTTTATTTTGAACTAGTCCCATTCATGCTTTTAACCTTGGCCACCTTCTTAGACACACCCTGTTACCCTGTGGTGCAAACAGATTTCACTTCCACACCTTTCTGCCATTCCTGTTGCTCCTTTCCCACTCCCTCCCACGAGCTCCATCCAGACAATCCCATGGCTTGGCCTCTCCCATTCAGCCCCACATTCAAACCTTCTCAGCTCTCCCTCTTTCTCTGCTTATTATATGCTTACACCTGTAATTATTCCTGTCTGCTTTATATTAAGTGCTGAACCAAATCCATGAGCACAAACCTTTCTGTATTTGAGAACTAACTCAGTCAGGATTTGAAAAGCAAGGTAATTTTAATTCTCTCAGATCCAAGTGCCCTGAGAACACTGGAGTAAAGCTGCCATTTCATCTCCTGTCCTACACTCCAATCTGGATAGACTGAAGAGGAAAATCAGTGGGTCAGTTCCTCATCTGCCTCTGACACCTGCACTTGATGTTCAGCTGCAGTGGTCACAACAGGGGTTCAGAGGGCATTTTGGAAAGGATCCACCCTGCTTTGACACCATCACACCCTGACCCAGTTATCTGCTTATGTCCTTTACTGGCAGGAGCATAATCCACTGCTAAGGTGACACATTCTTTTCCTGCACTGGAAGATATTACAAAGATGTAACAAAGACAGCAGATCCTTTAGGCACATACACTTCCTCCCACAGTGTGGGGGAGGATGGGCTTCCCTCTTTCCCTCCCTGGCAATTCTCACCTGCTCCCACCCTGTACAACACAGATTTTGCTCACCTGTTGTACAGCTGCTGAGAGCTGAATGTGTAAAGCAAGTACAGGGTGTTTCCAGTGAGGAAGGCCAGGATCCAGAAGACAACCAGCACTGATCTCTTCTCCTGGGCAAGGAAAAGAAGCAGAGTTATTTCAGCTCAAAACCTCAAGACTTGAGCTGAGCCTTCAACTGCTGAAAAATCCAGCCCAGGGGATGCAAATATGTAACAAAGTGTTCAGTAATTAGTTTATTTACTCAGGACTAAGAAGTAGTCTGCAAGGTAAAGGCATCTAGAAACACAAGCAGAAAGGCTTCTCACTCCTGTAACCTTTTCAATGGAAATTAATTGAAACTAGCTGGTGAAAATGACAGAATTAGTTGCAGAATACATCTTCAAAGCTGGGTTCTTTCTTGGGACACCTAAAATCTCCTGATATTTAAAATGCAGGTTTAAATAAGTCCATTCCATGTATTATCCTAAATTCTGAGCTGTCACCTGGCTGCAGTGACAATTCATCAAAGGGATGTTTTCTAAAGAGACTCTAAGTCACTCAGTGGAAGGCTCAGCTAAATCAAATATACTACGTGCAGCACATCTGGGGATATCCTAAAGCATGGTGGTTCTGTAACATTCATTTTTGATTGAACAAATAATTAAAGGTCAAAAGAAGTGGAAAATTTTGCATTTCAACATACATGGAAAGTTACAGACAAGCTGGATGGCAGAAGACACTGTCCTGGGTCTTGGCCCTTGGTAACTTGGAGGAGTAAATTTTATTCCTGAGAGGAAAACACCCACCATTTTTCTTGTGAGCTGATTTATTAAGAAAGGAGTTCTCTGTGGCTGCTCAGCAGCCAGGCCTGCTGTGCTGAGATTTAAAGCAGGCAGATCAAGGGGCACACTGCTGGAAGGCCAGAGGTGCAGAGTGCAAGGCAAGAGCAATCTGTTACTGGGTTGTGCCATTGATCTGCTCACTCACTGCTGGATCCCACTGATTCCACTGCTGCTGGCACATACAAGCATGCACTTGTGCCACCCATTTTGTAATCTGGACAAAAAAGCAATTCTAGCCTTGTGCTTTTAGTGCTGTTGAAGTGTTCTCCCAACACAGAAGATCAGAAGACCTGAAAAGATCTGCTGGTTTCTTTACATTCTAAGCATATTAATGCCCAGAGCATTATAAAGCCATTAGCAAGCAACACATCTATGAAATCTTTCAGCTGAACATCTCAAAGCATTATCTAAATGCTAATAAGCTCAATCTCATCATTAATAAGTGAAATAGGCTCAGCATCTCTGCAGTACATGATGGGAAAGCCAAGGTGCAGAGCAGGGCTGGAACAGGCACTGCCAGGCAGAGGGAGGTGCAGATTACAGCATCCCTGACCTGTCCTTTTTGTTTTACTACACCACATTTCACAAAAAAAAAAAAAAAAAAAAAAAAACACAAAAAAAAAAAAACACAAAAAAAAAAAAACACACAAAAAAAAACCACCAGGACAGAGACTTTGGGAGAGCATCAAGCATCAGTGAGGAGAGGCAGGAAGGAAAAGACAGATCTGTGCACAAATAAATGCATTCAGCCCTAGACTGCAATCAAATGTTCATCACAGATGCCATTTTGTGCTTGGAAAATGATGTTTGCTGGGAGCAGAAGTGGTGGAATCCAAAACGCAGGGAATTCTCAGCACTTTGGCTAAACTTTGTTAGCCTGTAAGCCAAAGCTTAGAATTAAACACAGGATTTGATCTGAGACCTTGGAAAAGGCTTCCAAACTTAGGTGCTAGAAACAAGAATGTGGATTTATAGTTTGAAGCAGAGACAATTTAGAGTTTTAGAGCTTAAGACATATAAAAAATAAAAAGGTAAACAAGTTACAAAGGTAAACAAGGGGTTTAGAATACAGTACTGTAGGTCTGTGTGTCATAACATGATTAGCTAAGAAAGTTTACACTGTAGCATGAGTCCATAAGTTGAAAGCCCATAAGGATTGATTCAAAAACATAAATATCCTTGTTGGCAGTGTTTTATTGGTCAATAAATCATTAAAAGGTCTTGTAACTACGAGTCTTGTGACTTTCTGAACCATGCTGTGAAGATGCGAGCCAAATCCACCCTTCCTATCTAAGCAGAAAATAAGAAAATAAATCACATAATCTAAAAAACTCAGAGATCCCATCTCTAACTCATTGAAAATTCCTTCAAAAATCCCCATACAGAAAAAAGTAAAATGCCAGACTCACCTTCAGAGCCACCTGCTCTCGGAGCGTGGAGTTGGCGTAGGCAAAGGTGCTGGCCATGCCAATGCACACAGCAATTCCTGCAGGGAAAGGCTCTGTCAGGGAGAAACCTCTGATGCTGTTTGACTTGATTTCACACCCACCACCCCACCTGCAAGACAGGAGTCTCTGAACCCTTCTGTGCCACACAGAAATCTTTGCTGTCACCAGTGTAAGCTCTCCCCACCCCTCCTAGAGAGAGCTCTGAGGGAGAAGCCTTGGTAACATCCTCAGCCTCACAGGAATGTCAGGGAGAAATCAGAAAAGGAGCAGCACTGGTCAGGACAGGAAACTGATGGATCTGACCCGGATGAACACAGCTTGGACTGAGAGTAGGGGGAATTTATCACATGCATTATCCCATGCATTTGAGTATGTTCCCTTCATGCCAGACTCCATCTAGACACTGCCACATGGATAAACATATCAGACATCAGAGCCTGATAAAGCCTCCCAACCACCCTCTAATCACAGCTCAAAAAGCTTTGACAAATGCTCACCAAGCTTGTGCTGGAAACAAACTTTAGCCAGGAGGATCAAGATGAAGGGAAGTCCCTTTTGCAGCCACCCGACCACAGCTTTGAGCTCCGAGAGAGCCGGGGCCGGCGTTCCGGCCTGTTCCTCGGCGCCCTCCTCGGCGTGGCCGTGCCGGTCGCCGCCGGCCATGTGCAGCAGCGAGGAGCCGCGGTGGTGGCCGTGCTGGAAGTGATGCGCCGGGGCCCGGTGGTGGAACGGGGCCCCCTCGGCCCGGCCGGCGCCCTCGTCCCTCGGGGCTGGCATCTGGATGAACACCTCTCCCCCTCCGGCCGCCGAGCCCAGCACCAGCCCCGCCGGGAAGGGCGCGGCGGCGATGGAGGCCGCGGGGATGCCGGCCAGCCCCGAGAAGAGCTGCTGAGGGGAGGCGGCCTCGGCCTTGAGGCTCTCGAACACTCCGCTCTCGTCCACGCTGGCCTCCGAGCTCAGCGTCTGGCTCCGGCTCCTGCAGCGGGCACAGACCCCGGGATTCAGCCAAAACAGGGGCACAGACCCCGGGATTCAGCCAAAACAGGGGCACAGACCCCGGGATTCAGCCAAAACAGGGGCACAGACACAGGGATTCAGCCAAAAGGGGGGCACAGACCCCGGGATTCAGCCAAAACGGGGGCACAGACCCCGGGATTCAGCCAAAACTGGGGCACAGACACAGGGATTCAGTCAAAATGGGGGCACAGACACAGGGATTCAGTCAAAATGGGGGGGGGACACAGACACAGGGATTCAGCCAAAACGGGGGCACAGACCCCGGGATTCAGCCAAAACGGGGGCACAGACCCCGGGATTCAGCCAAAACTGGGGCACAGACACAGGGATTCAGCCAAAATGAGGACAAAGACCCCAGGATTCAGCCAAAACGGGGGCACAGAACCGGGTGCTGGTTTAGCCCAGCCCTGAGCGCAGAGACTCCTCACACTCTCTGTTGTTGGTTAGGGGTTTATGTACAAATCACGAATTTGGGAATTCCCCAAATCATTCTGCTGGGGAATGTGTCTTGAGCTGTTTATTTTCCAGCATCAGTCTCATTACGTGGTTATGACAATGTGAAGATGCCAACAGCTCATGTTTTCAGCAGTAGCTAAAGAACTTAATGTTACAACTCACTTTAAAAGTTTTCTGACCAATCACACAAAGCAAAAGCATACTGACAGTAGTTCTATCCAACCACTATGAGCACACCTACCTTTTGGTTAAAACAATGCTTGCTTATTTAGAATACAATACCTGCTTGCAAGCATTAAAATGCAATGCACAGAGCTCCATTATTAAGCTTAGAACTTCCTAATATCTTGCTAGATATACTTTTCTGTAGCTTAGGGAGTTATACTAGACAAGCACTAATACACAGACCATTGTTCTATTTGTCCTTACTTTCTACATGTCATATAACTTTTGCTGACAAATCTTATGGCTACTGCTTAGCTCCAATCACAGTTCTGCTGTCTCTGAGGCCTGCCTTTTGCAGCTTACCCAAGACCCTCTGATTTTAAGGATTCCCACTCTCTCAGAACACCCAGATCCCCAGATGCTTTTCCCAGATGCTTTTCCTTCTTTCTGTCAAGAAGTCACAGCTGCATGACTAGAGGCCAGTACCAAAATCAGAGAGCCTCTCCAGACCTGACCAGAACACATCAGCTCCCCCACCAAGGAATGAGGCTCCCAAACACCCTGCTTGCTTTTGTAAAAAACAAAGAAATAATATATCCAGTACCAAATCCAGTATCTTCTATAATGATTTGAGTATTTTAAGGAAAACATACAAAACCTCATGGAACCTGACACAGCACCACCAAGTCAAAAGAAACAAACAAATTAACCAAGTGAACTCAAAACAACTACCTACCCCCAAAATCCTCTGTCTTTATTCTGGGACAATCACTACCTGCCCACTGATGAATTGCACTAGAAGAGACACAATCACCAGGGAAAGAGAAGCATTGAGAGCTGCTTTGTGTGTCCCTGACCTGACACAGAAGTGAAGGGTGTGCTCATGGGTCCAGATAAACTCTTTTATTTTTATATTTTGGGCAAATTGGACATGGATGTACCCAAATTACTGGGCAGAACTGGTTCTGGCACTGATTCTTTCCTAAGCATGTTGGAATACAGGCAGATTCCAAAAAGAAAGTCTAAATACTTTTATCCTAACAGCAAAAGACAACAGGGTTTATTTTCTTCACTAGAAGTCAATACAAGGAAAGTTTAGTTGAGAGGGAACAATGCAGGTGACAAGTAGAATGATCACCAGGCAGTCAATACCTGACAGACAGCAAACACTCCTCTAACCTGCAAAAGCAGAGTAAACAATAAACAAACCCCAGCAAGAGGCAAAACCCACAAGCAAGGCATGGTGCAGAGCTTTGGTCTCTCCTGATTTGAATCCTGGGAGATCTCTAACTTTAGGAACAGCAGTTACAAGTTGAGACAGCACACGCAGGGCCCTCAACCCTCTCTCCCACATGGTTCCAAAGCCTCCCCAGGGCACAGAGCTCTGCCTTTCACCTCCCTCTGGGGACACCCTCAAACCTCTCTGGCCAAACCTTCCCACTAAGCAAACTCCTAACAAGGCTTTTTGTAGCTGCACGCCATTCCCACTGCATCTCCACAGGCTCCTGCAAGGAACCAAGTCAACAAGACATTGCACACCTCGTTCTGGTCCAAAATATTCATCAGCCAGGCCTTTAAATTCACACCTAATGTTACAGTTCAGGGATGTACAGGCAGCTTATGGCTGGGAATGTGAAAAACAGCTTGGGAGGAACCCAGTGCTACAAATAAAGACACAACTATCCTTTGGAATAATATTGACAGGATACACGAGTGTGCTTTCAGCAGGAAGGAATTAATCTGTGATGTATTTATACACAAACAAGGTTTGTTTAAATTGGGAGGCTGCTGAAGTTAACAGAAGTGAAGACCAGTGGCAACAGCATTTCCTTCTACAGTTAGAAAAACTTCAGCCTCTGTTCCTGACTATGTATTTACCCTGTTAAAAATCAGAAGTATCATGCAGAAAAAAAATCGAAGATGGCTTTCTTTCCCCCTGAAATTGAGAATGGTACCATGAGAGCAATGGCCATGGCTTCAACTCTAATTGCAAAATCACTCTAGAAAATAAAATATTTACTAATGATATTTCACTTATAATCTCAGCTCAAACAGAGCAAGGAAATTTGTTAGTCCCATCTTTGTCTTGGAGTAATTAGATTAGTTTCTTCTTTAGAAATAAAAATAAAATGTCATACTCTAACTCTGGGAAAGCACCAGGGAATATTTAGTACCAGAACAACAACAGTGGCAAGGCTCCCTTGATGATGTTATAATTACAGAAACAAATTAGAGGTATTCTAAATACTCAAATACATGAAGATAGATACAAACTTTGGGAAGATGTAAAGGGTCACCCAAACTCTTCATAAAACACTAGGAGTAGTTGGGAGCTTCAGACCAACAGATTTTTTAAACACCTCAATAAGAGAAGTGCAAATGGTTCCTGTTCACACAGGTCCATTCTTGCACACTGACAGCGCTCAGGGTGCCATGAATCCAACCCCTCCTAAAGAGCTCACAATCCTGCTCATGCTCTGCCAGCTGGGCCAGCCTGCATCACCCTGAAACACTGTGGCTGGCAGCAAGCAATGAGTGACAGCAAGGAGAAAAGTCAACTTGTCTCTAGAATCCCCAGACTCGAGCAGAAAGCCCGGCCACAATACACACACAGGAATTTGACTTTCTCAGTTTTGAGCTTTCATCTTTTAAAACACCCCTCTGTCAGATTAAGCCTTTTCCTGACCCAGAGATGGGGCAACTGAGAGGAATTTTAAAAACTTTTATTCCATTTTCAGTCTCATGAGAAGGGTGAGACAACACAGAGGTTATAACTCACACCATCAGTATCATAAGCCAACTACTTCCTAATTACAATACGTTTTAAGTGTTTCTTGGCCTATCAGCTTTTGCCACAAGAAAAATGTGAAGAATGTGTCTGGGTCAGAAAAAGGCTTAATCTGACAGCCCTACTCCTAAATCATAGGAGTATACATAAATAAATATCTATACCCTTCTCTTGGGAGAGGAACCTGGAGGGAAGAGGAAGAGGAAGGATTTACCTTTCAGGAGGCACGGTGTCCGTGTTGCTGCTGTGCCGCCTCTGCATTTTCCTCAAAACCCTAAAACACAACACGCTCAACATGAACCCTGTGGCTCAGCAAATCCCAGAGTGGCTACTGGCACAGGCCCTGGGGGCAGAGGGCAGTGGGACCCACTCAGCTGGGGACATGGCTGGCAGCAATCATTTGTTTCTGTGACAGAGCACCTTGAGCTCCCATTTGTTTCTCAGCACACTTGAAGAGACAGCTTTGAATGGCAAACGGGGGCACGCAGGTTCCAGGCTGGGCAGGAGTCACTCAGGTCCCCTCCTGCAGGAAGTGGCAGTCACCAGGAGGGATGGCATGTCCTGGCAAGGAACATGGGGACACCTAACAGTGGCTCTCGAGGTGGCACATCACTCAACAGCCTCTTGGGAAATGACATCCAGTCTTCTTTTTCTGCAGGAACTTGCTCTGCAAAGCAAAACTGAGAGGGAGGAAGAAAAAGAAAACATGTAAACATTTTTAATAAAAAAATACTATTAGCTCATGACAATATTCTTTTAAACAAGCAACTCATTCATTTTAATCTACAGCAATACCATTTGCAAAGTCTGGACAGTAGCCCCAGAGTACAACAGCTACTTAATAAAATGTAAAGACTAAGATCTAAATACTCTTGAATATAAAAAATTATAACAGTATTCATAACACATGACAATATATACATAGATGTGCAGCCCACGTGTAAGGCACAGTGGCTCTGGGAAGGTTTGCCAGCTGTCTCAAAGCACAGTACCTGAAGAACAGCTTTATCCAGAGGTGAAAGGTGCCACACTGGCAGAGATGGAAGCTCAGGAGCATGCAGACATTCACAGATGGAGTGCTCCAGACAGTTCAGGACAGTCCAGACTTCAAACTCATCCCAGGTCCTCCCAGCCAGTGACTCTCAGCACCTGGCCACAGTGCTCACAAAGGAACACCTGGAGGATGCACACACAGAGAGCAGTTTTCAGCACAGTTTTACCTCTCCATGGCCCTGGGAAAGGCAGAGAGGTGCATGAACCCTTGGTGCTTCGAGCCCTGCCCACGGGCCTGACCCAGCAAAGCTGTTTTCCCCTGGGACTGGCACCTGCAGCCCTCCCACAGGCACTCCCTGGGAGCGCTCCCAGAGTTGTGCTCTGCCTTCATTGTGTCCATACACACACCTTTAATCACACACACGTGTGTGTGTCTGTAATAAATACAGACAGACATAAATGTATTTATATGTACGTGCACTTGGATCACAGAACATATCACACACATATATCATAATATATACTTTATATATCCATCTATACATACACATATGTACAAATGCATGTGTAGATACATATATATGTGTGTGTATACACATACATACACACTTACATATACATAGATGTATAGATATAGATCTGTTAATGTATACCTACATACCCATCTATTGACAATCCTATACATAAATATGTGTACATACATATATACAGACATATCTATTAATACAGTTCTGTACATACACATACATATGTAAATCTATATATACAGACATACACATAGTATACATATATAAATATAAATACATATAGATAGACATACATGTGTATCTATATATAGACATATCTATTAATGTGGTTCTAAACATACACATACATACATAAATATATATATATACATAGTATACATATATATTTATAGACATACATACATGTATATACATATATGTGCACACAGAAGTATCTATTAATACAGTTCTATACATATACATACACATATACATCCATATATACACATACATATCTACATAGTATACACATATATACATATAGATGTACACACATTTATATACATATATATACAGAAATATCTACTAATACGGTTCTATACCTGTACATACATATACACATCTATATATATACACATATATACATAGTATATATATGGTTATAACTCACACCATCAATATCATAAGCCAACTACTTCCTAACTACAATACATTTTAAGTGTTTCTTGGCCTATCAGCTTTTGCCACAAGAAAAATGTGAAGAATGTGTCTGGGTCAGAAAAAGGCTTAATCTGACAGCCCTACTCCTAAATCACAGCAAAGCTGTTTTCCCCTGGGACTGGCACCTGCAGCCCTCCCACAGGCACTCCCTGGGAGCGCTCCCAGAGTTGTGCTCTGCCTTCATTGTGTCCATACACACACCTTTAATCACACACACGTGTGTGTGTCTGTAATAAATACAGACAGACATAAATGTATTTATATGTACGTGCACTTGGATCACAGAACATATCACACACATATATCATAATATATACTTTATATATCCATCTATACATACACATATGTACAAATGCATGTGTAGATACATATATATGTGTGTGTATACACATACATACACACTTACATATACATAGATGTATAGATATAGATCTGTTAATGTATACCTACATACCCATCTATTGACAATCCTATACATAAATATGTGTACATACATATATACAGACATATCTATTAATACAGTTCTGTACATACACATACATATGTAAATCTATATATACACACATACACATAGTATACATATATAAACATATAGATGTACACACATGCATATAGAAATATATACAGAAATATCTATTAATACGGTTCTATACCTATACATACATATACACATCTATATATATACACATACATACATAGTATACATATATAGTTATGCACATATGTATATACATCTATATACAGACATATCTATTAATATGATTCTATACATGCACATAGGTACATACATCTATATATACACAGTATACATATATAGATATACACACATATACATATATATGTATAGGTATACATGGATACATATACATATATATACAAAAATATCTATTAATACGGTTCTATACCTATACATACAGCTATATATATGCATACATATATACATGGTATACATCTATAGATATATACATATATACACACAGATACATACATATCTACACGTATATCAATTAAAACCATACAATTCTATACGTACACACATATACACATGCACACACAGACATAAGCCAGGCCTTCTTTTCCGGTTAGGTGAGGGAAGGAGGCTGCTGCTGGACTCCGTGGCGCAGTGCCCCGGCCCGCCCCGCGCTGCCCCGTACCTGGCTCGGCCCGGTGCCGCCGGTGCCGCCCCGCGCACGCCCGGCCGCGGTTTCCGCCCGCCCCGCCC